GTGCATTCCGGCCCTGTGTGTGCGACTGAGCAGCCTTTTTGAGGAGCCACTCTGCTCACCCCACATGGGGAGGAGGCTAGAAAAGGTGCCCTAAACATACTGTAGTGTGCCTAAAGAACCAACCTGACTAGGCAACCGCACCCAGTAAGGTCATCCTTATGCGGTCGAAAGCACAATTACAATCACAGATAAAAAAAAAAAACTAACCAACCTCCTATGGTCGCTGCATGGAATGTCAGGTCCCTTCTGGATACTAGCACAAACGCACGTCCTGAAAGAAGAACCGACGTTGTGGCAGTCAATAATGAGTCCCGGCTCCCAGACTTAGGTCGACTCACAGAAAGGTAAGCCTGCTGCTGAGGGAAGCCGCATTTATGGATTGGATTTGCCATCAGCCATCACATCCTACACAGGCTAACTGAAATGCCTGTTGGGATCAACGAGCGCCTCATGACGCCCAGAGTCCTACTGAAACACTCAGGTCATACACCCCAACACTGGATGCAGAGGATGATATCAAGAAGGCCTTTTACGCCGACCTCGACAGAGTGCTAATCTATCCCCAGAGAAGATAAGGTTGTGCTCCATGGTGACTTCAATGCCAGAGTTGGTAGAGATGCTGACATTTGACAGGGAACCATAGGGAGAAATGGGCGAGGCAAGTGAAATCCCAACGGCCTGCTCCTCCTCAGCAAGTGTGTTGCACACAACCTCACTATCACCAATACCTTGTTTAGGCAGGCCGACAAGTTCATGGATTCATGGCTACACCAATGATCCAAATACTGGCATCTCATTGTCTACATCATTGTCAGAGAAAGAGATTGCTGAGATGTCCTCATCACCCAAACCATGTATAGCTTAGGCCACTCTCACTTCAAGTCGCCCCAAAACGGCGAAGGCAACGAGCCTCCAGAAGAGATTTTAACACTTAGCGTCTGGAGGATCCAGAAGTAACACATGATTTCAGAGAGAGCTCGAACATGGGCTGATACACGACCCAGCAACAATAACACAAATCCCAGTGCCAAATAGAGCACTCTCGACACTGTCATGACAAAAACTTAAGGAGAGACCCTCGGCCAAGTCGAAAGAATACATCAGGACTGGTTTGATGAAAATGACCTGGAAATCAATGTGCTCATCGATGATAAACATGCTGCTTTAACTGACTGGCAGAACAACCCTCAGTCTAGGACTAAGGCTGATACCTTCCACAAGAGGAAAGCGGCGGCCCAGAGTGAGCTTCACAATCTAAAGAACGACTGGTTTAAAAATAAAGCATGTGAAATGCAAAAACTTGCAGATCAACACAACATGCGGCAATCACTCATGGCACAGCCCCCTCTGCTCATCCGATGGTAACTCCCTAATTAAGGATGAAGAAGGCATCCCTCAGTGCTCGAAAGAGCACTATCATTCGCTGTTCAACCAAGACACCGATGTGGATATCCTGACTCCCTAGCAGGTCCTTCAGCATCCACAGTTGTCCTATCTCAGCTATCCTCAAACCCTGGATGAGGTAGCTACTGCCATCAAACAGATGAAAAATTACAAAGCCTTAGGGCCTGATTGAATCCCAGCCGAGGTGTATAAAGCAGGAGGATCTCTGCCTACTAGCCTTCTCCACTCTCTCCTGGAAAATATATGGGAGAGGAGGAAATCCACCAAGCTCTTAATGACACCTCCAGCATCAATATTTATAAGAATAAGTGAGACCGGTCAGACTGTGGCAACTACCGTGAGATCTCGCTACTGTCTGTAGCTGGCAAGACTATCGGCCGAGTCCACCTAAACAGACTACTACCTGAGGAGGAAAACTTCCTCCCAGAATCTCAGTGTGGCTTTAGACCATCACTCACAGATACTCACAGATGATCTTCTGGAAGAGGCTCACGCCTGTGACTCCATCTCAATAGCGTCTTCTCTACTCAGACGGTGGCTGCGTGTGGCAGATATTTATGCCCTATAATTATATACTTGTTTTTGATATTTCCAGTATTTATCAAATTTTGCTTCAAACTTTTCCACCGTCTCCACATTCACTACCCACTCTGACATGATCGTTGTTGCCCGCCAGATACAAGAAAAGTGCAGAGAACAACGTCGTGACCTGTGCATGGCTTTTATCGACCTAACCAAGGCCTTCGACTCGGTCAACAGGGAAGCCCTCTGGAGAACCAAATTCATTTCCAAGGCAACTCCACGATGGCATGAACGGCAGTGTCCTGCACAATGGCACCCAGTCTGAGTTGTTTCCCATCCAAACGGGGATAAAAATAAAAGGGAGGTGTACTGGCACCAAATCTCTTTTCCATTTTCTTGGCTGCCTTCCTTACTCGTGCTAAGGCCAACTTAACCGTGGGGGGATATAGAGTACCGGATGAAGGATCTTTTCAAAATAAGACGACTGCAGGCAGGAACAAAAGTGTCGGCAGCTTCCATAAGTGAACTTCAGTATGCAGACACCCTTACCCTTGTCGCTCACACTGAATGCGACCTACAGGAAATCTTGAACACCTATGCAGATATGTATGCACAATTCTGCCTTGAGCTGAACGTGCGCAAGACTCAGATTTTCTTTCAGCCTGCCTCTGGTTCAGCCACACCTCCATCATCCATCCAGCTTAATGGTACTACCAAAGACTATTTATGAAAGATAGGAAAACTCGAGCTTTTGGTGTGCGCGTTAGTTATGTGCCTCCGAGGCAGATGGCGTAGATATGGTCTCTTTGTTTACCGAATACGTCACCTTCGGTGGGCCCACTTTGGCCCCACTAGTGTTCCTGTGCGGGACATCCAAAGAAATTCATCCTACTTTTATATTTCATCGATTGCCTCGACAAGAGGAAGAGTTGAGTGTATATATAATGCATAATTAAAACTTGTAGCTAGGATGAATGCAGTTTCAGAAGCCACGAAAAGTATCATTTTTAGTTCAACAATTCAAAAGAGGTCTCCTGATGTAGAATTGTATCTTGTTTTAATAATCTTTACTGGAAAATATTAATTTTATTCACAGATTGTTAAAAGAATAGGACAAATTTACTGGTATTTAAGTAAAATTCATTTATGTGTTATTTATATGTTTTGATTAGGAATTCAGTTTGTAATCTACCGTTCACAATTATATACATATACGTTACATACTTTAGGCCTATTTACAAAACTTATTAAAATATGTTTCATATTAATAATTTGCCATAGTGATATTAGATGTACATTAATAAAAAGTACCGTAATTAGTGTGAAGAAAAAATAATACAATACAATGTCCAGTAATCAATCTCTTACCTCTGCTTCCTTCAACTTATATCTTTAACTACAATACATAGCACATTTTGAACGATATACCTGTCGAGAAAACAAACGAAAAAATTAATATTTAATAAAGTAAGAGATTGTAACAAACATATAATAAAAATAAAAATTATTAATAACAGAAGAAGCAGAGGTGGAGTTTGAGATTCCCCCAAAGAGCGAGTTTTTGGTTGGGGCCATGCCGATAGATGGCGCTGATTCCGGCCTTGCGGTGCACGGTTAATTCAATAGCTTTCGTACGAGCTTTCCTATCTTTCGTATATGTTCTTTTGGAATTACCCTGTCTAAATGTTACCCACTTTCAGTATCTCGGTTCCCACCTGTCTACCACCGCGGACTCGATTAAGAGATTCAACATCGGATCTGATGTGCATCTCAAGCCTTTGGCAGACTCCGCACCAGTGTCTTCAGCTGTAGGGAGCTAAAATTATCAACAAAGTTGCACATATATCGAGCAGTGGTCCTTCCTACCCTGGTACATGGCAGCGAGATATGGGTTACATACAGGAGGCACCTCAAAGCACTTGAAAAATTTCACCAACGTAGTCTACGCTCCATCCTCCGAGTTCGCTGGGAAGACAAGAGAACAAATGCCAGAATTCTCGCTGACACCAACTATAGAAGCATCGAGGCTACCATTATCCATGAACAACTACGTAGGACTGGACATGTTACCGGCATGAACGACAGTCCAAAGCAGCTACTTCACAGTCATCTGACGAATAGTTATCGTAACCCTGGCGGGCAACTGAAAAGGTATAAGGATAGTCTTAAGACATACCTGAAAAAGTGCCAAATCGACCCCCTCACCTCGGAGGCGACCATTCCACACCGTAACGCTTGGAGGATCACCACACTAGAAGGTGTCAATACCTTCGAATTAGCCCGACTGCAAACCGAGGCAGATAAGCGCCCGCGTCGGAAAGACGCTACCGCTGCCTCTCCCGCACTAGATGGAGCCATCTAAATGTGCAACATCTGTGAACGACTCTGCCGGTCCCATGTCTGCCTTTTTAGTCACCTGAAAACTCACCAATGAAGGTGACATCGCTATAATAACTCATATCATTGTATCATAGCTGGATGATCGTCATACTCGATTCCGAGTGACAGTAAAGTAGTAGTGTGTGTGTGTGTGTGTGTGTGTGTGTGTGTGTGTGTGTGTGTAATTCTATTTAGATGTTGATTTAAAGGAAGGTGACCACAGCGATACCATTTTTTAAATTTTTTATACCAAAACACAGTTTTTAAAGAAAATAATTGGAATATGGCCTTCAAGAAACACAAATTCGATTAAAACGTAAAATGACAGCCATGTTTAAAAACATCCTCTATTATATTATATCAATCGTTCTAATACCTATCCTTTGAACTTATATTTAAATTAAACAAACAATAAAAAATGAGACGGTTTCTTTCTCTCGAGGGATCCAGGGTCCTAGGAGGGCCTTTGGGGACCAAGGGAATTTTGTGCACCCTTCGAGATCGATTGTTCATGACACAAGGCACCTGGAAAACACTCTGATTAAACCTTAACATGCCGTGTGAATTTCAACCTGGTTTAACCTGTACTGTACATTCATCCCCATTATATAGACAATGGTGTTTGGTATTTTCTATATATTTTTTTTTTCTTAAACAAAACTTTTTATGGATAATTAAATAAAAATACGACTCACTTCAAGGATGTACAGCATGTGTTTATCTATTTGGTGTTTATAGGGAGCGTCGTGAGGTATGGGCCACCCTCCTAGGGCAGGCAAAATGCTTTCTCTTCCAATAAACATTTGTGTGCTGCCATCCACCCTTGTGAATTTATCCGCGACCATCTGCCTCAGATACCGGATCCCGTCAATATAAGGTAGTCTGCACAATGACAAACACAACGGTTTAGTACAAATTTACCTAGGTAAACAGGAATATCTCCTAAGACAATACGAATACATTTTACATTAGATATCTTCAGAGTATGTTCATAACGATGAATGTGGCTGTTGAAGTTAATATCTTTATCCCCTGAACTTCACTCATTACGCATTAGTATTTGATGATGTTTGTCTCCTTATTTATAGCCAAATTTTATGTCTATATGTCTATTAAATCAATATACAGTAATTGTTCTGAGCTTAATATATATATATATATATATATATATATATATATATATATATATATATATATATATATATATATATATATATATATATATATATATATATATATATATATATATATATGTATATATATATATAAATCAACACCTCACTCCACCAGGATTCAAACCCACGATCTTATGATAGTGACCGGGGAACGTTACCTCTGGGCCACCAGGACACTAAAAGCAGTCCTAGACTCTGTTATATTTCACACAAAGCCTGTTTAACGAGCTTATGGTGCCGTGAACCTCTAATGGGGACTACCCGTGCGGCTTAGGTGATCAGAGTAACGTTTATATGTAGAAGTCCGCGTGCCTTATTGGGCTAATGAAAAATGCATGGATCCTCGTGTTTCGAAAAAAGGATTTGGTAAAACGTTACTCTGATCACCTAAGCCGCACGGGTAGTCCCCATTAGAGGTTCACGGCACCATAAGCTCGTTAAACAGGCTTTGTGTGAAATATAACAGAGTCTAGGACTGCTTTTAGTGTCCTGGTGGCCCAGACGTAACGTTCCCCGGTCACTATCATAAGATCGTGGGTTTGAATCCTGGCGGGGTGAGGTGTTGATTAAATATATATGATATATATATATATATATATATATATATATATATATATATATATATATATATATATATATATATATATATATTTCATGTAGATCCACAATGAAAATGTGGATAAGATAAATCTTGATAAAATTACACGGGAAAAGGGAAACGTCTTGAATAAAGACGAAAACTAAGGTGCTCCGTTGTTTCCTTTTCCGTGTGATTTTATCAAGATATATATATATATATATATATATATATATATATATATATATATATATATATATATATATATATATATATATATATATATATATATATATATATATATATATATATATATATATATATATATTATATTCAGAAATTTCAGTGTGATATTTGAAGACGCAATTACCAATATTGGCGATACTGAGTTGTTCAAGGTCGTCTGAGTGATAACAGCGCTCCCGCACAAGTAGTGAGAATTTCTGGAGCTGCACCACTTAATTTAGACGTGAATTATGAAATTAAATGACAGTTATTAAACTGAAAGTTATTATAGATCGTTTCCCAGTCTGAAAATGTTGCGTACGTCCCAATTAAGTTTTTAGTTGTAGGGTAAATAAGTCACGGTCAAGATTGACGCCTTGAAGGAACGCGCCTGGGGCAGTCGCGAGGAAGTGGTCAAACAGACCAGAACCTTGCGTTGGCCAGAGAAATGGTCACGTGATCTGGTCCCTTGGTTACGACATCAGTTAACAAGTAAGTTTTATTCGATCTCTCAGAGCTTAGATAAGGCGGTAGGAACAAACATTGAGTGAGTGACGGTGATGTGAGTCTTAAGGAGAGGTGTACAATAGCTAACAGAGGGTTTGTTGCAGGGTTTCTGTAGAGCCGACGCGTCCATACAGTATGAACGTCCACACGATCTGAACGCGTCCACTCATCTGAGATGAGCCCACGCGGTTGAGTGAGCAGTTAGGATTGGAGTGAAACCAGATGTCTGGGTGTACAACTAACGACGTGGGACCATCGTCTGTCGCCGTTTGATGATTGTTTGGGGTCACCAGATCTCCTCCACCTCGGCTCACAATACTACAAATCTAAAGGCAGTTTAGTGAAAACCTTTTACTAACGGGAAGCTAGAGCTCCCTTTAACTGTACAAGGTCTGATTTGCTCACTCCCTTCTGTTTCATGGATGTACTGAGTGTAAAATAAGGCTAGCTGAGTGAATGAATGGTTACACACTGAGACCAGGAGTCTAGTGGGTAATTAGAGGAACATTCTCCAAGGTTGTGAAGGGCTTGTTTGTGCCTAAGAAAAATACGGGTGCATGTGGAACCTATGTGTGAGGTTAAGGAGCATGTTTTCACGGGTATTGGTGGAGTCAATAACCTCTTCATATAGTGATACTATTTTTTCAGTGACTGATATTGTCTTGTTGTGTGTAGTTAATATTTCTAAAATAATTTTGATAGTACTGTTTT